GTGTAGTAGTATAATTAACTGGTGTAGTAGTATCACTGGTGTAGTATAGTATGACTATTATGGGCATTTCCTACAGCTTTCTTCACAGATATTACTATTATGGGCATTTCCTACAGCTTTCCTTACAGATATTGGCAGTAAGTTGCTAGGAAGTATATTTTGTCGGACTTCGAGAATCTTTTTGTGGCCTATCGCTGCTGGCAGAGGGAGCAGTGCTGCCTGCTTTTGAGGCTCGTGCAGAGCGTGTCCTCCTTGATTCTGGATTCGTTCAAGGGGCTGATGCAACGACACATGTCTCTGACCTTCTTCCTGACCATGCTGGTTGGGCTAGGAGGCAGGGTGCCTAGTGCGAGACGCTTCTGCCACAACCTTTGGACTATCTTTGGACTGGGCAGAAAGGCAATGCAGGCGGTCAGAGCGTCGTCCTCACTGCAGGGCACCCACGGTTCTTTTGCTCCTCGCATCTTAATCAGTCTTGTGTGGGGTCGCAAGCAGTGAGGTGAGACGCCTGGCTTTGGGAAAGCCCGTGCAGGCCCGGGCACCAGCGACGAAGGGAGAAACAGTGTGCCAGCAAATGCGCACTGAATCTGCGAAGAAAGCACCACCCGGGCAATTAAGACAGAAAATAAACAAAAGAGCCTACATCGGCTGTGTGTGATGTAACCCCGAGAAACGGAGGTCAATGGATTGTGTCGAAGCTTCAGTCCCTTGAAAGAACCGCGCCCTGTTTTTGTAATTTGGATGCTGCAGGTGTCGGAGCAGCTCCATGTGGGCGCGCTGCTAGCTGCCTGCCAAGATTCTCGAAATCGGTTGCAAGTGAGTGGGTGACAGCACAGAAGCCCAGGTGCTTGTCATGGCACCCCTTGCCTTCGTGCGGGCTTACATGCAGCAAACGCCGCTGTCCGAAAGCCTGACGGTAGGCGGGAAATCTTCAGTAGTTCACAAGTCGAGCCAACATCCAGATTAAAGCGAGGAGCTTCGGCGGCGGTCATCACGATTTGCTTCCTGCTCAGCCGATTGCAACCGCAGCTTCGTGATTGGTTGACATGAAGCAGCGCCGAGGTGCCACAGTGGTGGGCACCGCGCTGCCGAAGCTACTTTGGAACCATCCCGAGTTGGCTGCATCGGACATCTCATGTTATGGTGGCATCTGCCATAGTACTGCCGCAAGGTTCTTCAACGTGGATCCAGCCCACGGTGCAGTGGGCGTGCAGGCAATGTGCGGATCTGGATCTTGTGAACAGGGTGGCTGGATGAAGCACCGCACAGGTCCTCATGGACATCGCCGGAATAGCTATTGTCTGTGGTTTGGGCTACCTCTTCCTGGACATGCCAGCAAAATGGCATTAAAGATGAGCGGTGTCTGTTCTCACAGTACCGCTCGGCTGGCTTCAGTGGGTAGCTTATGTTGTTGCGGCAGAGCCAGTGCAAGTTGGCCTCAGCAGGTTTTCACTGCGAGGACGCAGCTGCACGTAGATCCCCACAGCTGCCCAGGGTCGTTTTGCTTTGTGCAGTTCGAAGATGAAGATGAGCTGAATGCAAAAGGCAGTCCGAGATTTCCAACTTCACAGACCGAGCATCGTGGTTCCGTCCTTCCAAACCACGACATTACATAGATTACATGGTATGAGATCATACTATATTCCCTAAACCTTACACCCTATATAGAAAATGTTATGAGGCCATACTATATGGGAAGACGAGACGGTTAGCTCAGGCCCCGAGCTCACCGCTGCCGCAGGGCCCTGGAGGCTTCTTCCAAGCGGAGCCAAAGGAGTTCACGAGCCTGTCGAGCTCAAGCCTATCCATACCTGTATCTGTATGCGTATATGTATATATATATATATATAAGGATATGTATGTATAGTCATGTATATATGTGCGTATGTGCGTGTATATACATATATGTAAGTGCTAAGCACCCTCCCATTTACCCGCGGAAGCTTCTCTCAAGACTGGAAGGTTTGCTTTCAATTTAAATTTGGAAAAACATATCAAGCTGCGAACGGAAAAGTACCTAAGATCGCAGGGATCTGTGTGTTTCTTGACGGCCTTTTGCTATTGCATCGTGTTAGTATTGCTTATTTGTTGGTGCTTACCGTAGGAACATGTGCGGATACAGTCTTATCCATCATGTGTGTGATGCATGTGGTCTTTTGTTGTGATACATATACCTCGGAACCAGCAAGACCTGGTGCATGCTGTTGGTGCAGACGCAAGTCAATGAACACCCATCACGCACAAAGATGCAATCCACAAAGTTAAAGTTCTATGTAGGCAAACATCTGCACATTTGCATGTAAAGCCTTGGCATGGCTCTGTAGCCTAGGTGTGTTTCAACTGCAAAACAAGATGCTTGAGAAGACCTATACGATATATGTATCTATGTATCTGCCTGTTTGTAGTGGCGAACATTGAGAATACTGCACATGTTTGCACATGAGAGATTTTGACAGCAGGTATATAACAGGTTGTGGTAGTATATACATTCTACGCTGCCAAAGCTAGTGGAAACCGTCGGTGCATGCACACATGAACAGCTCGTTATTGATATCTAGAGCCAGCGCCGTCATAGGAGCGTACCCCATGAAGTATTGCATGTCAGCATGTCATCATACAAGCATCCAATATAGTGATTCATATAGCTAATTAGCTCTATGCTGCCTTATGAACTGTAGAGTTCAATGTGTACATATATCTCTACATGCGCTTCTTCATGTGCCTTCCTGTCTATGTTGTGGAATGCCCGCGGCGTCGCAAGTATATGCATATGTGGAAGCACCTGTCAGCATAATCCACATAGCTTTGGACACACTTTTGAACAATTGGGTACAAAAATCGGGAAAGCCAGACATACATGCAGCACATTTACCACGAGCGTTTAGAAACAGCATATACGTATATAGCACATGCGGAAATTTTGATAGCATGTATACAAACTGTTTTTGCTTGTAATGTTTGCTTTCAGTACGAGTGTACACACAAGAACAACTCATCATGTGTACATAGAATCAGCGTTGTCATGGGAGCATTAGCAATGCGCAGTATTGCGTGTAACCATATTATGTATATATCTATATGGTACCCCCCCCTCCCAAAACCCACCC